TTGCACATTTCGTTGTAGTATTTATTTAAATAGATATGTAGAAACATCCTCCATCAACTCTCTAAATACTCATGCGTGTAGCTCCACTTGCCCCAACACCCATGTAGCTTGAGTGTCTGTCTTTGCTGCCTCTGGTGGAGTACTGTCATTGCAGAAGTGTGTAGGTAGCCACAGTTCTCTCTGGTGCCTTTATAAAGTCAAGTATGTTTAGATAGAATATGCACCAGCAAAATCCACCCTCATAAGCAGACACGTCTCTGGGTTTCAACAAATACATAGAGTTGCCACACAGCTTCTTAAGCCACACGCCCCAGTACACTATAATCAGAAGGATCTTCATCTCGGGTGTGGTCTTCTCACTCTTTGTCCATCACACCCCCTGAGCTGTGCCCCTCGAAAATGCCCTTTCTCCTCATGCTGGCCAGTCTAGGAGCCACCTTCCAAAATAGCTTCCATCTCTTATAGCAGTTCTATTGAGGAAACAAATCCAGAACCGGAGCAGAGTTTCCCTGCAGTAAAAGGAGCCTGGCGTATTTCTAAGGGTTTCACTTAGTTGCGAGAACATGGTTAGGGTATTTATAAAACCCTACAATTTGATTGTGGCCTAAGAATGCTGGTAAGGCAGATGTTTCCCTTTGTTAGGGATATATTGAACTGCCCCCGTTGTCTCAGTCCATGTGTGGGGCAGGTAGAGTGGGAGCTGTAAAGCATCAGGGGTCTCACTGAGGGAGGGACAGTGTCTTATCCATCCTTAGGACCCCAACACAACTCCATTGGTATCTCTTGAGCGGTGGGATGAGTGGACTTATATTGGAGATGGGCCATGCTGTCTTGGAGTGGATTTACTCATCCCTCCTAGATGTCTGAAGACAGTGGGGTAAAGCTCCTCCTGCCTGCCTGCTCCTCAAGGAGCCCCTCACCTCCACCCTGCATGTGACCTCAGCAGCCTCCTCACCTGTGTGCTTACAGAACTACTTTGAGAGCTACTTTGCCGTTGCCTCCACCGTGCCTTCGGTCCTGTGCCTCATGGCCAACTTTGTGCTTGTCAACAGGTATGTAGCTTTCCCCTCTTCAGACTCCCAACCTTTGCTCCCAGCCTTCTCCACTCCCTTTTATCCACAGCTGCTCTTTTCTATTTTTGTTTCCTGCCTGCTTAAATGATAGTGTCTTAGTCTGGGCTCTCTAGAGTAAGAGTAAACCCAGTGACACTTACATGTGATTATATAGGGGGAGATTTACCTCAAGGAAATGGCTCACGTGGTTGTAGAGGCAGGCAAGTCCAAGTCCATGGGTCAGACAGCAAGTTGGAGGCTTCTCCCAAGTCACATAGCTGCAGGGGCTAACAAACTCAAGACCGATCGGCAGGCCAGACAGCAGGCTGCTGGCTCATAGACTGCAGAAGGCAGCAAATCCCAAGGTCTGCAGGCAGTGTGGCAGGCTGCTGGCTCAAGTTCACAAACCAGAGGTCAGATAAGAGCAGGATGCAGGGTCCAAAGTGAGCAAAAACCAAGAGAGCTTTGTCAGGATGCTCATATATCTTTGATACAGGCCACACTCCCTGTGAGATTCCCTTTACATTACATCAGAGCTAGGGCTAGATTCAGGGGTTGCATCTCACCCTAATCCTCTTATATTGAATCAGGGCTGCAACCTGAGTAAGATGGTGTACCCCATCCTAATCCTCTTACATCACATCAAGGCTAATCACATCACACCACATGGGGGTGATTACAGCACTACAAAACCACCATGCCAGAGAATCATGGCCCAGCCAAGATGACACACAGCCTTTAGCCATCACAGGTGGCAACCAAAGTAGGAGGCAAGCAGCTTAGACTTGTCCAGAAGATGAAAAGGTCAGGTCAGTTACCTAGTGCATTGTTGATGGACTCCCCAGTCATCGCACTGGGTGTTCACCGACCAACTACATGGTGACATCTAGTCAGTAACCAGTAGGAGGTGTTGGAGGCACATGGATCTTCTTGGCCCTGGAGCCAAGAATCACCATACAGATGACAGGGTGTGGCCAGAGAGCAAGGCTATGGAAGCCAGCCTTTGGGGCATTTCTGAGAGCAGTTAGAAGGGAAGCATCTAAGCTCTAGCTCTCAAGATGTGGGAATGGGTTGCTTAACTGCTCAGTGGTAAACTGGTAAAACTAACTGTTGTGTTGACCATTCACAATGGGGGTTGGTGGGGAATTCCTGACATTGTGTTGGTGAATGCTCCTTAGAAGTGATAATGGTGAGACTTAGTTTCATGTACTTTGGACATAGTATCAGGAGGGAACAGTCCCTGGAGAAGGGAATTATATATGGTAAAGTAGAGAGTCAGTGAAAAAGAGGAAGACCCTTAATGAGATGGACTGACACGGTGACTGCAATGAAAACAACGGGCCAATCGTAGGATGGAGCAGACCCAGGCAGTGTTTCATTCTGTTGTGTATAGAGTTGTTATGAGTTGGAACCCATTTGACAGCACCTGCCAACAACAGGGCCCCTGGTATGGTGCTGTGGGTTAATGCTCCAGACTGCAAAGCTGTTTGAACTGCAAGGTCAGCAGTTCAAGCTCACCAGCTGCTCCTTGGAAACCCGCTACAGGGTCGCTATGGGTCAGAACCAACTTGACGGCACTTAACAACAACAACCAACAACAGGTGCTGTGGGTTAATGCCCTGGATTGCAAGGTTGGTTTGAACCACGAGTTTAGTGATTCAAGCTCCTTGGAAACCTTATACATGGTCACTATGAGTCAGAACTGACTCAACAGCACTTAACAACAACAACCAACAATAATGGAGTCCTGGTATAGCACTGTAGGATAAGGACTGGACTGGCAACCATGAGGTTGGTGGTTCAATCCCACCAGCTGGTCTCGGACACCTATTCAGGTTCACTGTGAGTCAGAACTGACTCAGTGGCACTGAATGACAACAGCAGCAATGTTGGTGAAGGGCATGGAAAATCTACATCTGAGATGCACTATGGGGGAAAGAATTATATAGAAGCTGGCCAGGCAAATTGGCCCAGAGACCCTACTGGTGACTGCGGTTATCTATTACCAATTCATGTTTACATGGGCAGCAACCCAAGGTCCTTGGCTTATATTTTCCCTAAATTGTCACTAGGGGTTACAATAGCTACATGTTGTTGTTAAGTTTGGGCAGGCCATCAAGTCAGTTCCGACCCACAGCAGCCCTGTATAGGGTTTCCAAGGAGCAGCTTGTGAGCTTGAACCACCAACCTTGTGGTCCAGTGCATTATCCCACTGTGCCACACCAGGACTCTACAATAGCTACATGATGACCCAGAACCCTGGGTTTTCCTAGGTACAGCCTGCTGAAACCTAGAACACAGATGGCAAATCTGTTTTACCCAGCTCTGCCCAATTAGTAGGGACTGCCTGGATCTTCAGCTGCACAGGATTCTGATGCAGGTGTGGTCTCAGGGAGGGAGCTCTGGGTGCAGGAGAAGAGAGCGGCCACCCTATGCTTCCTGTGTGCTAACCCTGACTAGGCCAGGCTTTCCAAACATACTATACTTTGAAGCAACTCCAATAATCTATTGCTGGGCTAAAAATCTAGTCCAAATGATAGGACTTCAAACAATAGCAATAATGGGCATCTCACATGGCTCTCTGGTCACCTAGGCTCTGCTAGCTGCTCGGGCTTGCTGGTGTCTCTCAAGTGCTTCCGGTCAGACAGTGCCAGGGCCTGCAGCAGCTGCCCTTGGACACCTGCCTCCCCTCTGTGTCTCTCCTCTTCAGCACTCACTCATCAGAAGTAGGTCTGCTTCTGTTGGGGCAGAAGGCTCCAAGGAATGTTCCAAGAGAGGCAGAAGGGAGGCATCACTTCTGCTGTGAAGGATTGGCCTAGGGAGTCACAAAGCCCGCCCACTCAGTTTCAAGGGGGCACAGACGCCAGCTCTCCATGGAAGGAGTGTCAAAGAATTTGCAGCCATCTGAGAAAACCCTCCAAGAGTCCCGTGTTCTGGCTGGAAGAATGAGAAAGACAGTGAGCCTCAGATGGGCCTGAAGGCCTTGCAGGTCCTTTCAAAAGCCGCTGGCCTTTGCCTGCCTGGCCTGTACCTCCTCCTGGCACTGTTCTGCAGTGAGGGTGCGGCCTCCAGAGACCCAGTCCAGGAGGAGAGTGGAGGCCTGCCCAAATGCAGGGGCAGGCGTTTCCTCAGCATCAGGTACCCCTGAAGGACGGAACCGTGTTAGTGGTGCTGCCTGTAGAAGAGGAGGTGGAAGAAAAGGCAGGGGCCATGAGAGCAGGAGGACAAGGAAGAAAGGGGTCACAGAGCAGTGGTGGGGGAAGCCCTCTCCCCTGCCTCTCCTTCACAGGCCTCCCATGATGCCCTCTGTCCAGTCCATCAACAGCCACTTGATTCTGACTTGCAGCAACCTCCTAGGCCAGGGTAGAACCATCTCACAGGGCTTCCAAGCTGCAGTGTTTCCAGAAGCAGGCTGCCCTATCTGTCTCCTGCAGAGCAGCTGACGGGTTTGAATCACCAACCTTCCTGTTAGCAGCCAAGCTCAGAACCACTGCACCACCAGGACCCCTTCACAATCGCCCTGGCTGCTTCTCTGCAGGCTGTGGGGAGACAGTTTTGAGCTAGGTTGTTGTTTTTTATTTAATATATGAGATTGAAATGTCTCCTCCCCCCACTCCCAGGACCCTGGTCTTCCCTGACTAGCTTATCCATAATCGCAAGTGTTTTATTATGTTAAATCTTCAGCATCATAAATACTTATGAGGTGGATTTACATTTTGGAGACTTATGAAGAAATCAGTCCCCTGGGGTACCAAGCCCTCACCAGTCAGGGAGGGAAGCTGGCATGTGGGGGTGGCTGCAACCCTTTCTGAGTCTCCCCAAGTGGTCTGAACCAGGCCACAGAGCAGGGGTCATCTCGGCCACCCCTACCCCAGAGAAGATCCACTAATCTGGTGATGACACTTGTCTGGACGTTCCCTGAAGTCCCAACAGTGTCACTGGCTCCCGGGCCACTTTCCCTGCCTGGATGGCAGCAGCAGAGGTAAAGCCGGCATGCCCCCATCAGCACATGTGGGCAGCCGGTGAACAGCAGCTCCGTTGTCCTGAAAACAGCCCTGGGCAAGATCCCTGCAGGCCATCAGGAGCCAGGATGGAGGGTTCTGGAGTGGTTTAGGCTGCAGGTAATTAGCAAGCAGGAAGGAGAGTGCAGGTGAGGAACCTTAGGGGGAACAGAGGCTCGGTTTTTGTTTCTTGTAATGCATGTGGTGTTTGTGTCCTCATTGCCCGCTTTTCCCTTGTCTCAGTCCTGGGGCTGATTGGGTCAGAAGTCCCCCAGCTCTCTCTAGAGCTACCTTCCTGTGCAAGCAGCTAATTACCTTGCAGTGACAAGCTCAGAGTGCTTCTGGGTGCAAGCAGCATTCCTGGTGTGGACTTTTTCGGCTCTGGGTTCACAAGAGGTAGAGGCAGAGGCCAGTCCCTGATGGAAATGGACACACTGCAGATGTTTACAGCTGGACTCCCTGTGATACAGAAAGGACCCAGAGCAGAGAGGGTGGGCCCCACCACTCATGTTCTTGTTTGTTAGTTTGTGTCTCCCGTGAACCTTCACCTGCCAGGCCCCCAGGCTAGGCACAGGGGGCGATGGAGAACACTCAGGTCCTGCCCTCATAGTGTGGCTCTGGCCTCTGCCACCATCTCCCCCCTGGGATTGGCTATAATTTTTCTGGAATTGGACCGCAGCCTATCCCTCCACTTGAATGTCTTCAGATTTAGAAACATAAGTTGGAAAAGACCTTGACCAGCCTCTTCTGATTAAAGATGAGCAAACTAAGGCCCAGAGAGGTTGAGGATTTGCCTGGGGTCACTTAGTGAGTTAAGTGACCTCTGATCACCTGACCCAGGCTTTGCACCCCTGCTGAGTCTTTTAGTAGCTCCCACTGTGGGACAGAATTGGTTGTATAAGATCACTCCAGGCCTGACCCCCAGCCTCCAGGATACCTTGTGTGCACTTACAATAGATGCTCTGGGCCTCCATGGGTCTGCCCAGGTGCTGGCCTCCAAGGCGATCCTCCAGCCCCTCTGCAGGCCAACCACCCTGCAGCCCCCAGGGTGGTGACAGAAACCCCAGAGTGAGTCTTGGTGTGGGGCTTCACAGAGCCCATCCTTTAGATACGTAGATTGGGAGGTGAAGATGGGAGAGGAACGAAGTGAGGCAGACAAGTGAAGGCAGCTGATAAAGGTGCCTTGTCACACCAGCTCCCACCAGGGTGACCAGAGCCTAGAGCTGGGAACTCGGGAATTACCCTGTTCGAGAGGTGAGGATGCTGGAGTATTTATCCACCAGCTTCTCCCAGACATTGGTTGCAGGTGTTCATTACCTGTCACTGCCAGTTAGCTTCATGGACCAGTGGTTCGCAAAATGGTAAGAGGGCGGTCATGTGGGTAGAGCACCAGCAGCATCCCTGTGTAGTTTCTGACCATGTCGCTCCCCAGCTAACACCCTACATACCTCTTTGGGGTTGTGGGCCTGGTTGGTAATATATGACACACCATCAGGTTGATTCCAACTCATGGTGACCCCATGTATGTCAGAGGAGACCTTCGATGATAGATCACCGGGCCTTGTTCCCTGATGGGTGCTGGCCCTGATATGGCATTGCAGAATCAGCAGTGGGCTGCTAATCAATGAGGGTGATACTTCACGGAAACCCTAAACTCACTAGTACTTACCAAAAACAACAACAACATCTGGGTGGACATGAACCTCCAACCTCTTGGTTGGTTAGTAGCCAAGCCTGTTAACTGTTTGTACCACCCAGGGACTGTAACAAATGATGTTGTTGTTGTTGTTGTTAAGTGTTGCCAAGTTGGTTCCAACTCATAGTGACCCTGAATAGGGTTTCTGAGGAGCGGCTGGTGAGTTTGAACTGCTGACCTTGAACTTCAGACCTACCTTGTCCTCCAGTGCCACACCAGGACTCCAAACACAAAATTGAATTGAGTCATTCTCTAGGAGGAAACTAAAGAGAGGTCTACCGACAGGCATCATTGAACCTGACTAGTTGGCTGTGTGCCTAGGGTTTCTGAGGCTGTAAACCTTTATGGGAACAGAAAGCCTCATTTCCAACCCCACCCCCGCACAGAGCACCTGGTGGATTTGAATTGCTGATTTGCGGTTTGCAGTTCAACATGTAACCCACTACGCCATCAGAACTCCTTATAATTGAACCTAGGAGTCCTGGTGTGATGCTGTAGGACAAGCACCCAGACGGCAAGGTCAGTTTGAATGACAAGATTGGCGGTTCAAACTCACCAGCTACAACGTGGACACTCTATACAGGTTCACTGTGAGTCGGAACCAACTCGATGGCATTTAACAACAGGAGATCACAAACACCAAGAGGGTTCCACCTTGTGCGCCATCTCTGTGATATATGAACCTGTGCTTGGCTCCCTTCTCTAGGTAGCCTCTCCCCACATAGCTGGCAAGATAGTGACCAATAGCCGGAGACACAATCGCAGCAGAGAGAACATCTCGCTGCCAATCCTGGGAGACTGAGGGAGACCCTACTTGGATCATGTGCTAATCCCTAAATCAGTCCCTGTGGCCTGAGGCATAGAATTCATAGAACCCTGTACCCATCTCTTGCAACTGGGCTGGTATGGACCATGAGGCTGGCAACCTCTCTAGGATCTGGCCTAGAGGAAAGAGAGGTCTCCTAGTGCAGGAGTGCTGACCAAGTCAGCATGTCCACTCCACACCCCATGTTACAGAGTCAAGCCCTAATGCTGACCCAAGGTGGACAGGGCCTTACAGGGTGGGGCTTGGTGTCTCTCCAGGCTCCTCTCTGCACTCCAGTGAGCTCTCAGTTCTGGTGGAACTGTCAACATGCTATCATCTCATATGCATCTTCTTACCCCTCCCCTCCACTACACCCCACTGCTAAGTCTTGAGGAGAGAAGTCCAGTGGGTGGTTGCTGTGTTTAAACACTAGACGAAGCCAGAAAGAGCTCATCGCCATGCAGGAGGAGCAGAGGAATTGCTCTGACAGCGCTGTATCCTACCCTTGAACCCGGCAGCACGAGGCAGTATTTACTGAGCATTTGCCCTAAGCCAGCACTGCGCGTTGCACCCACAACCAGGCTTCGAACCTGGGGAGCTTGTTAAAATATAGATTCTGAGTCAGTGGTGGAAATGCAAATTCTTAGCAGGGGGCTCAAACCAGAATGAGCCATTCAAAACCTTGGTGCACACGCACATATATGTCCCCCTTCATGTCTTACACTTCAGCTTAGATTTTGCTTCCAAAATCTTTAAATGATCCGCAGGGAGGGTTTTATGCCTTCAATTTGTCCACTGATGCACTCTGGTTCTCTTGGTGGAGCACATACTAGGGTACAATGATGAGTTTATGGTATGCCTTCCCTGGGTCTGCCTTGTGTTCCACGCACACCACCCCGTAGCTTCTCAGTAAATGTGTGCTGAACGTATACTTCAGAGAGGACACACTTGAGCAGACTGTGTCTTGGGCTAGGGACCAGCGGACTTGGGTTCTTGTCCCAACAACATAGGTACTCACTCACTGACCTTCCTTCACTCTACCCACCCCACTTAAGTAGTGGAGGCAACACCTGCTGAGATGCTTAAGGAAACTCAACACTTTGTGGCCACAAAAGCCCTTGGAGAACACCCGTTACTGCTTTTCACACCCCTCACTTCAAACTCATCGGCAGACATACTATGTGTCTTTTCTACTGTTCAACTTTACCTTTTACTTTTTTATCAAGAATTTTTTTGTATCCTTAATCTTGCTTTTCACCCAACCTCCACCCACTGGTTAGCAGAAAAATGAACAACTCACTGTCTGGTCCAATTTAAAGCTTACTCTAATCTGATGATTTAAACAGACCATGTAGATGGTATTCTTGCTCCCTAGAATAGAAATGTGCAGCTTCCCAGAAAGCCTCTACCTCTTGCCTCTTTCCCCAGGGCAATCTATGTGGATGGGGCTGGAGGGAGTGTCTGATCGAATGTGCAGGCATGGTATTGGGAACTTGAGGAGACCTGGTCCCAGAGGGCACAAACCTTGGCATCAGCTGCTGGCCAGGACATTCTGAGACCATTCCAGTCACCTCTATTCCCCTGGTTCCTTTGATACCACCATGTTGCCTCCATTGTGGGGAGGCAAGAGAGTGTCTTTCTGAGAGTACAGCCTGGAGCATACCTCCTGCATTCAGAGCCCAGCTCTACCCTTGACCAGCCAAGTGTCCTTGAACAAGTCCCTTACCCTCTCTGCACCTCCTCTGTGTGCAGGGGATAGATGGGAGTACCTATTTATAGAACTGGTATGCACAGGGGATAGGTAAGAGTACCTATCTTATAGAGCTAGTGTGTGCAGAGGACAGGTAAGAGTACCTATCTTATGGAGCTAGTGTGTGCAGGGGACAGGTAAGAGTACCTATTTTATGGAGCTGGTGTGCGCAGAGGATACATAAGCTAGGTAAGAGAATTAAGGGTGTTCATATATAGAAAACACTTGGAAGAGTGTTTAACACAAATTAAGTGCTACGGGAATGTGTGCCTTGAGGATAATGATTATATTCTTCCCCCTTTCCCTCTGCTACACCCCACTGCAAAGTCTGGGGGGCAGGAGTCCAGTGGGTGGTGGTTGTGTTTAAACACTATATAAAACCAGCCGGAGGGCATTGCTGGTCAAGAGGAGCAGAAGGATTTGACAGCCCTGTATCCTGCCCTTGGACCCCACAGCAAGATGCAGTATTTACTTAGCTTTTGCCCTGTACCCACAACCAACACATCTCAACTTCTGAAATCTTCATAAGCACCCCATGACAGTATAGACTCAGCACTGGACTGCTAATCACAAGGTCTGCAGTTAACAGCAACAACACTACTGTTACCTCATTAACATAAAAAAGTTATCCATTCTCAAATGGGATTATAACCTAAGATTTGGGGGAAGAACACAATTCAACCCCTAACAGTTCTGTTACCCATTGTACAGTTACAGAAGCTGAAGGCAGGGCCATTGGGTAACTTCCCAAGGCCACACAGCTAGTGAGGCAGGAAAATAGGATTGAGACCCAGGCCTTCTGACTCCAGAGTGGACGCTGCCAACTGCTGAGCTCACCTACTTCCTTAGGGTGGCTCACCCGATGGCTCTCTAACCACCTCTGACTCCTCGCCCAGGGTTCCAGTCCGGGTCCGCGTCTTGACCTCTCTGACCATGATGCTGGCCATCTTCATGGTGATGACCATTCTGGTGAAAGTGGATACTTCCTCCTGGACCAATGGCTTCTTCGCTGTCACCATGGTCTGCATGGTGCTCATCAGCAGTGCCTCCACCATCTTCGGTAGCAGCGTCTACGGCCTGACTGGCTCCTTCCCAATGAGGAACTCCCAGGCACTGATTTCAGGTGTGAGCATGGGGCCAGACACTTAGCTGGGTCAGTCCACCAGGGGATCATGGAAAGGATTCATGGGCTTCCAGAAAGGAAATGTGTGCTAGGTGTGGAAGAATCCCTGAGTGGTACAAAGAGTTAACACACCTGGCTGCTGACTGAAAGGTTGGTGGTTAGAGTCCACCGTCAGGTGCCTTAGAAGAAATGTCCAGCAGTCTGCTTCTGAAAATCCACCTTTGCAAACCCTGTACAGCGTAATTCTACTGACATCTATGGGGTCTCCTTGAGTGGGACTCAACTTGACAGCAACTGGCGGTGTGGTGGTGGTAGGTGTGCATCAGTTGTCGCTAGGTGCTGTCAAGTTGGTACCCACTCATAGTGACCTTATGCACAACAAAAGGAAACACTGCCCAGTCCTGTGCCCACTTCACAATCGTTGCTATGTTTGAGCCCATTGCTGCCGCCACTGTGCCAATCATTGGCAGTCTTCCTCTTTTTCACTGAGCCTCCACTTTCCAAGCATGATGTCCTTCTCCAGGATCGGGTCCCTCCTAACAATATGGTTGGACTTACTCTGGGTTAATGCATTGGACTGCAAAGTTGGTTTGAACCACAAGGCCGGCAGTTCAAGCTCACCAGCTGCTTGCATCTCAGAAACCTGATATGGATTGGGACCGACTCAACGGCATTTAACAATAAGAACAATATGTCTGAAGTATGAGAGGCAAAGTCTCACCATTCTGGCTTCTAAGGAACATTCTGGCTGTACTTCTTCAAACATAGATTTGTTTGTTCTTCTAGCAGTCCATGGTGCTTTTAATATTCTCTTCCAACATCAGTTCTACAGTCTTACTTATTCATTGTCCAACTTTCACATGCATGTGCAGCGATTGAAAATACCATGACTTGGGTCAGGTGCACCTTAGTCCTCAAACTGACGTCTCTGCTCTTGAACACTTTAAAGAGGTCTTGTGTAATAGATTTGCCTAATGTTTGATTTGGCATTGTTTGATTTCTTGACCACTGGCTTCCATGAATGTTGATAGTTGATCTGAGCAAAATGAAGTCTTTGACAACCTCAATCTTTTCTCTATTTATCTTGATATTATTTATTGGTCCAATGATAAAGATTTTTGTTTCCTTTACATTGAGTTCCAGCCCATACCCAAGGCTGTGGTCTTTGATTTTCATCCGTAAGTATTTTAAGTCCTGTTTACTTTCAGCAAACAAGGTTGTACTGTCTGCATAATAAGTGTTCCTTCAATCCTGATGCCACTTTCTTCTTCATATAAGTCAGCTTCTCGGATTACTTGCTCAGCATACAGCTTGAATAAGTATGGTGGAAGATACAACCCTGGCTCACACCTTTCCTAATTTTAAACTATTTGGTGTTCCCTTGTTCTACTCTAACAACTGCCTTTTGGTCTATGTACAAGTTCCTCATGAGCATAATTAAGTGTTCAGAATACTCATTTTCTGCAACGTTGTCCATAACTTTTCATGATCCACATATTCGAAAGCCAGTAAGGTACAGGTAAACATCTTTCTGGTATTTTCTACTTTCAGCCAGGATCCACATGACGTCAACAATGATAGACCTTGTTCCACATC